ATACAGTAATTTTTTTGCAAAAGTATTTTGAAACGAAAAGAACAAATTTTTCGTGTAAAAACACATCAGTAGCAATTTGGCTTTTCAGCAGGTTTCTAAGAATTTGATCTCATATCACTTCAAAATATGTCTCTTGAGTTGCGAAGTGCTAGTAAGGATCACTCTTGATCTTCTTATCAGTGCAAACAATACATGAACCCCTATGGATGTTCATATTCCCTCAAGACATTCTCTTCACATTCACTTTCCAAGTAGCACAAATCTGGACAAATTTTTTTATAGCACTTTTCTGTTCAAAAAAATGTTGAGAAATGTTTTTCTTGATCTTGTGAAAAATTTTTTAGAGTCCTACGTTGATAAAAAAAAAAGAAAGAAAGAAACCTATACCTATCATTATTGTAGGTCGGTATTTGATAATAAAGTTGGAATATCGTATAATTAACTTTACCAAAAATTTATATTTTACTTAAATAAAATTACAATACGTTTTTACCTTAGGTACATTAAAAGAATATATAAATTAGGTAGGTATATCGAGTTCGATGACTAGTTATTTACATTTGCGTCGGGATTTGAATTTTTCTTCGTTTTTGGTTTCCTGTTTTTATTTCTTCGACTTCCTTTGCGTGTTTCCGTTTGATTTTTGTGCTTTGGTCTGGATATGGTGTTGTGTATTGGGACTGGTGATCTACCGGTGCCTTTTTTCGGATCTATAATTGTGGAGGGATTTGTGCAGTTGACTGTTCTCAACATTCTGATAGACTTCTTGAATGACTGAAATCAGTAAATTTTGTATAAGAGTTGGCTTACAAGAATCACGATTCTCGAATCGAATTGAAAATTCAAATGCGGAGCTTACAGTCAAAACTATTGACTTGAAAAAAAAATTGTTATTACAACGGCCAGCACGCTTCTCTCATAAAAATTGAAAACCGAAACAAGATATTTTCCTCAAGGTAATACTCTTCCATTATATTTGTTTCTGGTTCACCCTCGCTCATTTTATCAAGTGAAAAAAATTTCACTATTTATTTTTACTTGAAGTTTTCTTTCGATCAAAGTCACCTTCCCTAAAATTTTTAATATAGGACTAAATCATCATTGGTATATGAAATTGGGCTCATTTGAAAGCTAATTAATTCACACGACTTTCTAAATCCATAAAATATTATATTGATGATCCCATTCATCAAAGAAGTTCGTGAGAGCAATTTTTTGAAAAAAATCTTTTTGGAAATTTATAAAATTCCATTTAGAATGAAAAAAATAAATAAATAAATCACGAGAAAGATGAACCTCTGTGAATATCCAGTAGCAAGGAAATAGGAATATCATTGTTACCAAATCTCTCAGAAGGTATCAGACCATTTCTCCGCCTCCATACTTCCGAGTTCCGACCACCAATTCCTCCGTCACCCAAAACTCCGCAGACAAAATTTCCGTTCCAATTTTCCGCCACCCATTTTTCCAAATCCATTTCTTCGAATTCATTTTCTCCGAATCGCCCATTTTTCCGCCTGAAAATCTTCCGATTTTTAGAAGGTTTTCCAAAGGAAAATCTCCTATTAGATTTGGTCTGATTAGAGCAATAGAGGATGGGACATGTACAGTTTTTCGTTTCATGACCTCCTGATTCAAAAATACCCATCTCGCAATTTGGTGCATCCTTATTTATTTGTTTCTCTATGGGGGGGGGTGTATGTATTTGCGGATTTTTGGGATCAAAACTGAATAATAGAGGAACCAAACGACCAATAGAGATGAAATTCATACTGAATATGTAAAAATCATCAAAGAATTCAATTTTTCAAGTCCCATGTCGATATCTTCTCTAGTTGCTGAGAAAAGTCGTTCTAAGTGATGAAAAACATCAAAATTCAATTGGGATGCACTGCAGGATCTCCCATCGCACAGAATTGCACAAAAATTTAATGGAGGATCAAGTGTGGCCCCATGCAGTGCAGAATCAAGTTTGGTAATGATCTGTTTTGTGGTTGCTGAGAAATCAGCAAAAAACTGTTGAATTTTTGATGATTTTGATGGATTTTGTTAGGTTCATAACATTCAAACCAAACGACCAATTGAGATGAAATTCATATTGAACATGTAAATGATGTCGGAGAATTCAGTTTTTCATCCCCCAAATCTCTATCTTGTATAGTTGCTGAGAAAAGTGTCAAATTGTGTGAAAAACATCGAAAATTGATTGGGATTCTTTGAAGAATTACGGAAAACCTTCTCCTCTACCGCAGGCACTGCGGGAGAATTTTTTTTTTTTGCATTCTGCAAAATATTTCTAAAAAATATACCAAACCTGACGAAAATATTTAAATTTTTTGAAATCACTGGCCAAAAATAATTTGCACACTGAATAACAGAATAAGGCAATAAGCTTAAATAATCTGCGCATTAGATCATAGGTACATAATTGGGAAAAATAAGTTTTAAAAAAATTCCAAGTGGCAATTAAAAGTAGAATGTATTCTGATTGTTTTGGTCAATGAATGAAATTTTGC